GAGAGAGAGAGAGAGAGGAGAGAGAGAGAGAGAGAGAGAACGAGAGAGAGAGAGAATGAGAAGAAAGAGCGAGAAAGAGCGAGCGAGCGAAAGAGAACGAGAGAAAGAGAGAAAGAGCGAGCGAGCGAGCAAGAGAGAGAGAAAGAGCGAGAGAGAGCGAGAGCGAAAGCGAGAAAGATTATGCTGAATATGCGATAAATAATTCCATACTAATCAATGTAAACGAATGGAAAACATTAATTTTTACCGAGATAATTATTTGGATTTCAATAAACTTGATGCCATGAAACGAAAATTAATACCAGTATGATAAAGACGATTTTTTTTTTATTTTCTTATTTTGAACTCATAAAAGAATGATATTTTTTGCGGTTCACTTAAAAATTGAATTGAAGACTAATCGTCTTTTCATACTGGTCGACTTGTTCTTGAGGGTACTATTTCTTTGCATTTATTGTATCGAATATATTCATTGAGGTTAACAAGGGAACTTCGGAGAGAAAGTATTAACTTTTTTATAGCATTAAAATTAAATACAGTTTATATATAAAAAAAAAATGATTGGAATAAATTTAGCGATTTTATGTTGCTTTATAAAATGATGAATGAAATTTTTAATTTTAAATATATATACAAAATTATTACAAATGTGGGTATTATTACAAATGTGTACGTTGAACCGAAGTTCCGTTGTAAGTGAAACTATTGCAAATAGCAAATGAATTTCACTATAATTTGGCGCTATTTTTGCATTAGTCCAGACCAAAGAAATATATATAGATATATTATTCTTTTCAAGGTGTCGGATATTTTTGTGAAAGAATTTTAATATTCAATTTCATTTTAATTTCTTTTTTTTTTGTCTGTGTCAATAAATAATTATTAAAGAAATTTTCAATGTTGGAATAATTATTGCATTTGTGATAGTTTTTCTTTCAAATTGGCGACATATGTTGCGTTCCCGTCTTATCTTTCAAAATCTCTTATCACACGTTGCGGAATATCCAATTTTTAATAATTTGTTGTTTTATTTAATATCCTTTTGCGTAACAATTGTACATGCGATACTTGAAATTGTGAATTTCACATAATGATATATTGTGTGCAATTTTTCAACACCCAATTGTTGTCCAGAATTATTACGACACATGTGGCAGTAAGTGGATGACCTATTTAATTTGTAAACCGTTCACAAACATTGTATCGAATTAAAAAAAAAAAAGAAAAAAAAAGAAAAAAAAGAAAAAAACGAGAAAAAAATATATGACATAAGAAAAGAAAAAAGATTTTTCGACGAACTGTTAAAAAAAAAATATTAGGCGACGATTTCGCTGAAAATTTGACTTTTCTAATTATTTTTTTCTTCGTGAAACTTTTTCCTTCGCACAACGTTGCTGTTGATAAACGATTATTTTTATCGTATTGTGACATTGAGGTACGTGTGTGACTATTTCTTATTCTTGGTAAACAAAAGAAAAGAAAGAAAATGAAACGAGAGAGAGAGAGAGAGAGAAGAAAAAAAGAAGGATTTCTTAATGTTCATGGATGGTGAAGTACTTTTCAAATTTTTTATCAAATTTGGAGATAAAAGCCTGGAGAGATGAGATTAAAAATGTAGAGAAATAAAAAATCCAAAGATGACGAATTTTCAAAGAAACCTTTTGATGATGATTGATTAATAGACAGCAAAGAGATATTTAGATAAAAAAGCAGAGAGAAAGAGAGAGAGAGAGAGAGAGAGAAACAGATTAAAAGAAAATAGAATGCAAGAAGAGAATGACGACGACAATATAATGATTCACTTATTGAATAACAATAATAATAATATAAGTATAGGTCAAAAATATGATTTAATTGCCTGATTGCAAAGATTGAAGAAGTAGAACGTACAAGTAGATTTCTAATATCTGTAAGAGATATACTAGTTTTATTTGTGACTTCTGTAGGAGAATTAAATTGTAGGAATAATATATATATTTTTTAAAAGGAAAAAGAGAGAAAAAGTATTGTATAAAAAAGAGAGAAAGAAAAAGAAAAAGGAAGAGAAAGGCAGAGTTGGCTGCAGGGAGAGAGGCAAAGATGGATCACCCAATAGTTTCATATCCAAGGAATATCGATCAAAGTATTGGAATTGTACTACATACGCTCTCCTTGTTTCTACTTTGAAATTAAATTTTCTAGTTTAGAGAACTTAAACGTCCCCCTATAAGTTCTGTGTCTATGTGGAGATCAAAGATTACTCAAACTTAAATTAAAAATAATAATAATAACGAATAAAAACGATAATAAGATATAATAAGATAAATAAAAAGAATATATCATCAGAGATATAAAATTTGATTTAATCTACGATTACAACTCATTATCAGTTAACTAGAATTAATTAAAGATCTTTTGATTAATTTTAAAAAAATATAAGTTTGGAAGGAGTTGAATCAAATTCTCAAATTGAATAGAAAAAGAAAAAAAAACTAAATAAAAATAGAAAGGATGCGTTACGAGAAAGATATCTAAGGATTCTTTAACAACATCGTGGTCCATCCTCGTTCGATCGATTAAAAAACAAAGAATTTAAACAAAGATATCCCTGCAATTTCGTATGATATGTTTCTTCCAGAATCGGACAATGAAAGTGTACCGTCTCCTGTAAAGCCGCAGCCGAGGGTTCCTTACTGCAAGACGTACGAGGAGATTCGTCTGGAGGAGATACAAGCTGAAAGTGCTGCCTACTATTCTTATCAGACCGAGGACTACCAAAGCGACATGGGTGGTGGCAAAATCAAGACGTGTAGGACCAAACGGATCTGCCTTTATCCTTCGGTGATCAATAAAGACAAGAATAACGAGAAGGGATTGGATTTCGAGGTTCTCACATTAGATGAAATTCGTCGCCGGAAGACACATAAAGATCTTGAGAAAAATGAGACTAATAGAAGTATAGGAGTTAAGAGAACAGAATCGAAAAGTTTAATCAATGAAAAAGAAGAATTGACGACTACGGAATTTATGAAAGAAGCTATGAATACGTTAACCGAGACAATTTCCTCAAGGGGGATAAAGAGACGATTAGAAGAGGATTGCGAGGGGAAAAAAGACATATCTAGGCGTAAAGTGAACTGTAACGTTGATCGTACAACTTTCATTGTTACTAGTGCGCCACCTGTTAAACTTAACAGAAGATCTCCAAGAAGGTTTATCTCGCTCGATAATGATGTCGAAAATCGAAAAAATGTGAATAAAACGGTGAAAACTAGCCAAGAGAAGCGGATCGAAGAGAATAATGTGGAATCAATTAGAAATAGTCCAGAATCCACGTCCGTGGAAAGATTGAATTCTGAGCAAGTGTGTATGAATAATAGAACTAGAAAGAATGAAGTGGAAATTAGGTTATGCGACAGTAGTACGGATGAAGATCAAATGCCGTTAGAGAAGAATGAAGAGAAGAAATCGATCGGCACATATACTGTGGAGGATTCGAAGGAAACGTGTGACAGTTTATTGAATATAAACGAAGAAGATTATCTAACACTGGACATGGCGTCAGATGATATATTGAAAGACATCGACGCGTTGCTTAAGGAAAAACCTTCTGTTTGAAAAAGAAGCAAATAACGGATTGATAAAGGGACAGGTACTTATGAGAATTCGGTTTGATCGTTTCTCTGTTTGTCGTTCATTGATGAATAAGGAGGAGAAATGTTTTACCATTTGGTTTGATTTCCATACAGCTTCGAGAGTGACAGGGAATGTTTTATCTGTTTTTTTCTTTTCCTCGCATATAAAATGTGAGAAATGGTTCAATTTTTGCTAGAACATCGATAGATTTTTTTCATAGACTGATAAACAGAAAGAATTCTTAAATAATATATTCTTATCGTGTTACGCGGAGATAGTGAACGAATATATATTTATTCATTATATGCTTGGTCATTTTTTTGTCTGTCTGTATAATGAAAGGAATCATTATATCGAAAATGATAAATAAATTTTTTCAAATATTTGAACTTAATCTTTAGCTGTTGAATGAAATTTAAATTAGAGTTGTGACTATCGATAAATATCGATAATATAATATTAATATGTTAATATATTGATAATATCGTTGAAATATCAATAACGGATGAAAATAATTGAAATTTTTATTTTTTTTTTTTATTCAAAATTATAATTAAAAATGTTGTTAACGATTATTTATGAATATTTCATTGAATTTTCGATATATTCAAAATATCGTTACGTATGATTAAAAAAGCTTATTTATTATTGAAATTTATTACAAATATTTATTACAAACATTTTTAATGTCATAAAAATAATTTTGAATAAGAAAATGTGAATTCTAATTATTTTTATTCATTAACCATGTCTTAATGATATTATCGATATATCAAAAATTAATAATATATCGATAATCGATAATTACAATTTGAATTTATTTTATCATATACTCATAGCTGAATTGTAAGCCTATAACGAATAAATAATTATAATGTAGTGTACGGTAATATTTTTATTCGATTGTTTCGAATTTATGTCTAATTTAACGCGATGCCGAATTTGTTTTTGAATGAATAAGCGAAAAATTTTAGATATAAGTCGATGCATGATTATCGATCGATATCTAATGATTTTATATTCTGTCGAATGTTCTAGCGGAATTTATGTTCCTGAAATATAAAATTCAGTTTCTGCTATAGAAATTATCAAATGAATTCGTGAAGAAAGGTCAAATTCGTGAGAAAAAAATTTATTTCGATTTTAGGTTAAATAATGGTTCATTAATGTTGAATATTTATTATCTCTAGTATTTTTTTCTTTCGATAATATAGTTTTAATATAATATATTTTATTTGATGCTTTTTTACGTATAGTTTCTATGTTATAGCATTTTATCATGATATAATAATTATTGAAAACGAATGCATTTCTTCCTTTTATTGTAAATTTTTTCGGATAATTATGTGCATTTTATTCATTTAAAGTAATAACGATTGAAATTCTTGTACGTCACATACGTATTATATTTACAGGATATTATTATATACAGGATATACAAAAATAGGGATAAAAACTTCTTAGGGCTATTTTTAAATACCCTGTATACATAGAATGATTCTAATTTGACTACGTAGAATTTCCCTCGTAAAATTTGTTTATTATATAAAAAAATTGTTTTTATGATAATGTTATTTTTCTTTCATTCTATTGTTTCTTATTATTATTTTAATTTTTCGTTCCAACATAATAAGTTTTGTAAAAATTTAAATTTAAGAGTATCGAACACTTACAATTATCATCGCATATAAGTTAAAAAATCGACTGGTCTTAATTAGGGTATTTTTCAACTTAAGAAAATTTTGTTTTCTCATAGATTTTTTTCTTGAAATTTTTATATAATAAACGGTTTACGAATAGTTTTGTTAGATGTCAACCTACATTTAAAATTTTAAACGAGTTAATGAAAATATTTTATCCTCATATACAGAATGAGATATTTAAAACAGTAACATTCGAATGCATCTTTTTTTAGATTATATCAAGATTCTTATTTCTTTAAAAATAAGTTATTACAGATATATTGATTTAAAAAGTATATTTTTCTGTTAGCAATTTCACCTCGATATACTTTATTTTTTATCAAAGTTATTTCTATTTTGGAGTAATATTTTTCGTGGTTCAACATAATCAGTAATAATTTTAATTCTTATTATGTTTGCTCGACGTTTAGTTTCTTCTAAGCATTTCTTGGGATACGTTGTAAATAGAGATGAAATAAGAAAAAACAAATTTTTAAGTAATATTTATACTTTTTGATTAAAAGTATAAGGAATATTATAAAAATAAAAATTTATTATTAAATTAAATTATTAATAATTGATAAATATTATCAATTACAATCTTTGCTATGTAGAATGATTTTAATAGAATTGAATACTTTAAGCAATTATTATAATAAACATCGAAATAAATGTAGTCTGAATTTATAGGAAGTGAAATTTTATTTACAAATTGGTAATTTTTTTTATTGATTCTATCTTTTAATTTGTTCAAATTCAATTATTTCAAATTTTTCATCAAATATAAAAATAAAAGAAATAAGAATAATATTAATAAGTTAATATCGAGCAATTTTTTTAGCTTTTAATTTAGAATTATCCAAATTTCGAAAAGTTCTCTAATATTTCACCAATATTATAATTAACATTAGAATAGGATATTAATAATTTTTATATTCAATAATTGCTATTCATCGTTAATTTAGAAATATCATTAGAAGTTCGCTCAAAATGATACAAATTGTATTGAGAATATTTGTAATTTGTAAAATATTGAAAATATAAATTAGTATAAAAAATATAGAAAATTCAATTTAAAGGGAGAAAAAAAGGTAAAATTAAAATTATTAAACAAAATTTTCAACTGATAATTAATTGATTTATATTAGGGATAAACTCGAGAATTTGTTTAGTGTATATTTTTTTTATTTTTTGAATAATGTTCAATTCTCTTTTAATCAACTTACATATGCTTAGATGAATAAAATAAATTTTGGGATATTTAATTGTTGTGTAAATTGGATTTTTCGTTTTGTCATAAAAAATTAGAGGAGGGTAAGTAAGTTCGATGTCGTTTCTTAGACTCTGTGAATTATTGTTTATTCTGCAGTCGACGTTTCTCGATATTTCTAAGTAACTTTCCTTTCTGGAAACATAGGATAAATCGAAGTACCTTTTGATGCGATTGTGTCAATGAAAAGTATTAAAGGAATAAATATACGATTGTTACATTTGCAAACTACTAGACGTTATTTTTCTTTATCCCTCTTACCAACCTGCTGTCGACATATAAATGACAGTGAAAATTTTTTTATGTAAATAAAAATATTATATAAATATATGAAAAAAATTATATTATTTTTTTTTTTATTATCAACTTTCATTTCATCCGATTTCTTTTTAAGATATTTTGCATATCTTTTGACTTTTGAATATTTCGCTTTTGAAATTTTCGATTAGAAATCAATATCTAAATTTTTTACAAAAAGAATTTTCTATAAAAACAACGTAAAATTCTTTTATGTAATTTTTTTTTCTTTCATAGAGATAAGTAGATTTATTGTTTTTCGAAATTGATACGATCTCTTTAAGTAAAAGGCTGTTAATAAAAGACTTACTAGATAGAGAGATGTTCAATATCGATAATTTTTAACTTAATATAAATT